ATATGTAATACATGTATATGTATAATCTGAAAGTTAATGAGCAGTCAAAGAGAATACGTTTCACATTGATCAAATTCGGTCACAATATGAGAATAAAAGTAAATAAATGCTTTATTTGTGAGTATATAATTTGCAGAGTACACATCGAGACGTCAATATGAATAAACGTTGAGTTATGATATGAATATATTTGGGAATTTGGTTAATCACTCAGCGAAATGCGATTATGCACAATAATACTATCTGATATGCTCGATGTTGTCTAAATACGATAGCAGCAACGTTTTACAATGCTCATTCATTCAAATGTCAATGAATGCTTGCTAACCGGTTAAATGTGATATACCTGTTGTTATTGTTATTACTATTATTAGTTCGCCACCTTCTATATCTATTTTTGTTGTGAATTTCATTACTTCAGTATGCAAACTTTACTAATATGAACTGCTTAAAACCATTTGGGCACTTTTTCTTTCAGAGTATTTCTTGGAAAACTTCAAAACTTTTTTGATTACTGTTTTTACTTGTCTGATCTTCATTCGAATTTTTTTTAAGAATCATTCCGCATCTAATTCTGAATGTGGAACCAAATGCTCTGAGATCTGCTCTTAAACCATATACATGAACGAACAAGAGTTGACCACTGCAAAGGAGTAGAATGATGGACAGTTGGCATGCCAGTAGTACCTACTTAGACGTTAGCTGCAAAGAATCTGTTTCAACTTAATTCTTCCGATGAGATGCTTATGTTATACTTTACGAGTTCAAAAAAGATAGAAGTCAACTTGACAGAGGCATTGACTGTACACTGATATTTGTTGGGATGTTAATGACCGCACAAATGGGTAAAGATCGACGATGTACCCTCTATTAGTACTTGAAAATAGATGGTTGTTTTTGAATTGATAGCAAACATTCAGCAATGAATTCGGCATGAATGAATAAAATTGAATAAATGCGATTGAGCGGTTGGTAACGAATGCGATACAGAGAATTACGAAATAATGATAGATGCGGCATTAAGCATCAATACCAATAGCCTCTATTATATTCATCTGTCATCCATTATTTATTCATTTCATCAGTAGACTAATTTAAGATGGCTCAACAGAATGTTGGTTCGGTTTGGTGGTGCGATGAAGCATCA